TTTGTATATGATGGAGTCAAATGGCAGGAAATTCTTGAAGTCTAGCAGTGTTAATTTTGTTGTCATGACGATGTATTGTACATCATGGATTACACCTTGTAGAGGGGAATATAAATGATCTAATTGTAAATATGGCACTTTCTGGATTCATTTTTTCATAGCCACAAGAAAAAAAAAGTTAATTCCTACTACTGAGCACTGGAAAAACTATATCTATATTAGGCAAGGGTCACATATACTTCAGTGGTATGTCTTATATCTGTTGACTGTCAGAAGGAACAGAGTGGCAAATGAGACTCTCTCCACTCCTTATACTTTGTCTACACTGGGCATATCTACATGTGCATATTAATGTGCAGCAATAAACTCTGGCACATACCGTGCCAGAGTTTATTACTCCTGGGTACTGCATTTACATGTGTGCCTGGGACTGCAGAACATTGAGCTGTGTCAGAGCAGCCCTGGCTGGCAGGGGGTCTGGGGGAAGGCGGTGGGGAGGGAGAGCCTGCCAGCCTGGGGCTGCTCTGGCTTGGCTCAATGTGCTGCAGAGGGGCTGGAGCACAAGGTGCTCTAGTGAGGGGCTGGCTGGCAGGCAGCCACTGCACTGAAGTACCCTCATGCCCCAGTCAGCTGGGTTAGTGTCTACATGTGAGTTGCTACACGTGAAAAAATTCTGCAGCAGGATAGTACTTGTATTTACAGTACTAACCTGCTGCATGCAGTGTTTATTAGTTTTCTGTGGCTTAATAGAGCCTCACGTATAGATGCTGAGATGTTTATTGTAGAGTTAATTAGGCAACTCTTCAGTAAACATCAAGCGTATACGTGCCCACTGGTTACAAGAGTATGTTAGCACAACGTCGCCACAACAGACATTGATATTCAAAAACATCTGAACTTGCGCATATGGATACATATGTACCTACAGTGGAATCTGTGTAGACGGTTTTGGGAAACAGACCTAAGGGTCAATGTAAAACACCCCAACCTAAGCTTTTACATACTTTTGTTTATCTTTAGAATTAGTACAAAGCATTTTGCTGTTATAAGTTTTTTGGTGTGCTTTACTAATTGATAACTAATAATTTACTATTTGAATTTAAATCTAGACTGCACATTATATTTGATTTAACTTTCATTTGAAATAGTGTTGCATATACTCTAGGGTCTTATGATATTTTTAGTAATGTTTATTACATATTTTATCATGCGATTCTATTCATTTACTTTGCTAATCATGTATGGAGTGTCTATGTTCTGAATTCTGTTTTACTGACAAAAATGAGCTATAGGCTTTGTACTCAAGTGGGTTGCAATCTTATGAAAAGAAGACACTATTCATTAGAAATGGATGACATATCTTAAGGATACAGAAATACTCATAACTGTGGAGTTATAAAAAATACAAAATTAACTATGAGGATTATTAACTATGAGCTACCATTGAAAGGCTTTCTGAAAGGAATTTATTTTCAGTGGGGATTTAAATGAATATAATGAGAGCATGAAGATCTAATTGGTTTGATTAATATTAACGCCATTCACATGCTTAGAATTTGAGAAAGAAAAATGTGTTTTGGGAGTCCTTTCTATTATAGTAAAACACATATGTGCTTATTATAGTAAGGCCATTCAAAAGAGGTCATCTGTCATTTGGTTACCAAAATAACTAACCCTTTTTTAAAAACTTCTTTTGAAGATCTGGCTAACAGTCTGCTCATGCTAAAATAAATGACAAATCTTCCACTTACTTCAGCAG